GTTTTATGAGTATAATTATTCTTTCCACGCTCTCGCCTCTGTCTCTCTCTCTTCTTTTTTTTTCTCTCTCTCTCTCTCTCTCTCTCTCTCGCTGCTCACCCTCGCTCTCTCTCGCCGTTCTCTGTTTATCTCTCTGCCACTCTCGCTCTTTCACTATCCCACTCCTTTGCATATCGGTGTTCCTTTTCTCCTTTTGATTTAATATCTAGCATAAATGTGAGAGATTTTATATCTATGAAGGTTCACTCGCATTTGATAATTATTCTTCAGCTGTGCTCACCTTTAAGATTCCCGCCGATCCTGACTCTTCACAAAGCTCCAGGTGCGGGCCGTTATCTGATGTGAATATCACAAGTGTGTTTTTCTCCAGCGCTTCCTCCTTGAGCGCATCTAGAATCTCTCCAACTGCCCACTGCATTTCGGCGACGTTGTCTCCATACCTACCTGCAACACGATTGTTATATGTGCCGGTAAGTATTACTGTTCGCCATATAGTTAAACGTGCGTATTTTTCAAGTTTCAGTTCATTTTTTAGTTAAGTTCGTGCGACATTCTTGATCGCAGTCTCACGTACATTGTACCACACACATGACTGGTAGCACCAAGCACACACGGGACCGGAGTAGCATCTTATAGGAAGTGCAAAAAAATGCGTGCAAAGCGCGCGGATATAGTAGCAAAAACTACCGTTTTTCGACACGCCTTTAAACCGCGGCATCACGCCCAGGTCCGTGTGTGTCTGCGTCATGGGGTAGTAAAGGAAGAATGGCGTTCCATCGGCGTTGCTTCGGATGAATTCCACAGCGTCGCGCACTATCGCGCCCGTCATGAAGTGCGTGTCTATAGGCTGCTGAACTACGCGGTCGCCTTCGTACAGAAAGCACCAGTCAGTGTCAGGGGCTGCCATGTGTACCTGTTAATAAACGTTCACTAATTAACTCATTAATATATGCCGGAATTAACAACCTAGTGAATACCTTCGCCAGTCATTCTTCGCCTTTGTATAACACATAATATATAACTATACACAGTTTTATATGATACGCGCGCGTGCGCATTCGCGCCGACACCACATAAAAACAGCAATAGTCTATATGTGCATTATTAAAGTTCTCTTATTTGTACATATAGTATGCACTTTGTTGGAATTTAGCCACATAAGGAATCTCTTTGATTAAAATTGAAGAGCTTTTCAAATTAACTAGTAAACTAATCATATCATTGAATCTCTGCTTCATATATTTGAGTCCCCGTATTATTTTGATTAGGTTCTAGTATGTCCCCCTCGGATGCGGCATTCTAATCAAATTTGATGAGTTTATAATCATTTTTGACTAGTTTATTTCTATAGTGTACAATTAATACATCTCTGGTATTTGATACATGTCTTCCGGCAGAACGTGTGACTTTGCATGTGAGTCACGGGTTATCCCGCGTTCCTCAGCTCCGCTTACGTCGAGATGAGACTTAGATTTTGCCCATAAATTTGTCTAGAGGTCACTCTGGTTTCACCACCTGCCTGTTGTTTTCCCCATGACGACCAAATCATGCTCAACGATAGAAACCCATAAGCATTTTGCTCCAGTCAATTCAACCTCGATATACATATATAGTACACGCGCGCACACGGACACACGCGCGCACGCACACGTGCATGTACCTCCTGATGTACATGGCAGACTCACTTTGTTCACGTCACAATGCCACGCCATCGTAAAAGGCAGATTCGTTCCAACGTAATCAAATCCCTGGTTTTTAGGCAGATGCGTTCCATCGCTCGAATTATACTTGTTAATACCTATTAATATAATCCGTTACATATCGACATAAATGTCATTATATGCTGCCTGATTATACTTAAAGCCAAATAGTCAAATGAAGAATATGGTAATCTAACGCCACACTATATTAACTCGCACCTTGTGTCGTTTATAGTATATAACTCTACCGCCAAATTCCTATTGTTTGTCCGATTGCACTGCTAGTGACTGATAAAAGCTCCCATTCTAAACATATTTCTAATATTGGATATACGTGTATGGTTGAATAAATGCTAAAACTTAGTTACCCACCCAGGTGCCACTTGCCAACCATTCCTGTCCTGTATCCTCCCTTCTTCAGGAGCTCAGCGATGGTCAGCTCGTCCGCAGGCAAGCCACCCGTATTCATTGGAATAACAACTTCGATTATGTCGTTTGCTCCCAATGGACGGTAGATTCCCGTTCTAATAGGCAGTCTACCTATAATTAGGAGCGATTCATGTACGACAAGTTAACACGCACGCACGCGCACGCACACGCGCATACAGACAAACGCAGACAAACACACGTACACGCACGTACATACCCGCTGCTCCTGCTGGGGTGAATTCTCACGTTTGAGCCCGTAAAACATTCGGCACTTTATCGTGTTTGTTCGACACGAAATATAACAATATTTTTAATGAAATTACAATATTTTCTCAACAATGCACCACGCCGTCGCACAGCACCGAACGCAAAGAAACGGTTTTTTCTAAGCACATGAACTTCACGCCAATCCCAGCCTATTCTCAGATCCGAAACCGTTGGATTTTCTTGCACCGTTGTTGACTTTTGTGCAGGTTGATAGAACGATTGTTTCATCCGCCGTACGTAACTATGTTTGTTTGTTCGCAATGCATATACACACCTGTCAATAGACTAGCTCGACTCGGTGAGCAGATCGGATACGAAGTGTAGAAGTTAGTGAATCGAAGTCCTTCGCTGGCCATGTCGTCCAGTCGACCCCATTCTTGACTCGCGTGTCCATACACGGACAGGTCGCCCCAGCCGGAATCATCGGCTAATATCACAACGATATTGGGTTTGCTTACATGCGCTTCTCCCGGTAGCGTAACTCCAGTAAGAGTGAGAAATGCCAGCACGACGCTGTGTGCGTATGTGAGTGTCATCTCGCTTCTGATAAACATCGCAGCTGTTCGTATCTCCAACCCTTCCCTTGTTATGGTCCGGTGCTTCGGTAGCTGCTAGACGAGGCCTACTGGAACATTATATATTGTCACGTAAGGAGGGTCAAGGGAAACCGGTAATGTCGGCCGATGTGGGTCAGAACAAAGCGAAAACGTTATAGAACAAAACAAAATAAAAAACCTCGGTTTGCCTCTCCACAATATCGAGTTGACGTGGTGCGTGGGGTGCTGTGAGGATGAGTGCCTGCAGCCCACGGTCTATAATGGCAGACGCACATAGTTTTATCCCTGAATACCCTCGCCAGCTTGTTTCGTTCGCGCCTGCTAGGTAATTAGGTTACAGGTGCGTCCGCCATTGTAAGTAAGTCCGGCATTACCGGTAATACCGGTAATGCCGCTATAAGTAATTCCGGTCTGCCGCACCGTCCCTGCCTACCGATTACAATACTATAGTGTTTATCTCAGGTTATACTGCTCTATGATAAGACAGGCGTGACATTTCTGGGTGTGATGACATTTCGGTTTACTACAGAACGGAGCTTGCTGTGGCTTGCTACTGTAGTGGCCCTAGGGGTAGCCGCTATATGAATTATGTGCGTGTGAATGCACAATTGTTTTTCAGGATCATTTCTTGCTCCCGGTGGCAAAGCGGGACTGTGTTGCGTGGCAGCAGGTGGCAAAACAATGAGACAAATAAACTCAACGCAAGATACTTAATTATACGGAACCGGTAGTTTTATTGCTAGTATACACACTACAGTTATACAGTATCGTATCTGGTAGTTACTCGACGCGTTATGAAGGCTCTTGGTGTGTGACGTACTATTTGTTGTGACTATAATATTTTATGGCAGAAGGCCGGTGAACGGTTACGTGCAATAATATAGGTGCTTCGATCGGTGCGAACGCGAACCCGACGTATCTATGCAGATTGTTGGGAGTGAGAATAAGACGTAACGGCACCGGCTGTCGGCGTTCTCCTCTCTCCTCTCTGCGTCGCGCCGTTTCTCGTTCCTTCTTCGTTCTTCTGTCGTCCGTCTGCCCTCTTCTTTCTTCTGTCCTCGGCCTTCTTTCTTCTATCTCCTGCCTTCTCTCTTCTATCTTTTGTCTTCTTTCTTCCTCCTTCTTGCTTCTGTCTCCTCTCTTCTATCTTCGTTCTTCTGTCTTCTCCCTTCCTTCTTTCTTCTCTCTTCCTTCTTCCCCCTTCTGCTCTCTTCTTTCTTCTATCTTCTTTCTTTTATCTTCTCTCTTTCTTCTATCTCCTATCGTCTTTCTTCTTTCTACTATTTTATTCCTTCCTTCTTCCTTCCTCTTTCTTCTTTCTTCTTCTTTCCTCTGTCCTCCTTCTTCTTCCTTTGCTCGACTATTTTATTTCTTCCTTCTTCTTTCGTCTATCTTCCTTCTTCCTTCTTCTCTCCTGAGTCGGAGA